TTATCTGAGACAATAACTATTATCTGAGACAATAACTATTATCTGAGACAATTGTTTCCACTCCCAAGAGCTTTAAGGGTTTATTTTGGACTTCACTGGCGACGCAGCAGCCGAGGCAGGGGGACCCTAAATCCACCCAGCACCCGGATTTGGGGCTGATAAATCAGGAACAAGGACTGTGAGGTGCTTCTGGAGGAGGAAGGGGCTCCCCCCCCAGGGTTACCTCGCAGGGGGTCCCCCCCTCCTCGTCGGAGGAGCGCCGGGCCCGGGATCTCTTGGCCCCCCGAGGGGAAGAGGCCGTGCTCTCCACGTCGCTCTCCAGCAGGCTCTGCAGGGCAAGACAGGCAGAAAGGCCTCAAACTCTGCTCCAGCCAACATCCCAAAGGCTCTTTTTTAGCCAAGTTAACAACAGACCCATTAAGAACATCACTAGAAGGTCCAGGATGACTCACAAGTGTTAAAATAAAGAAGGTTCTCCTGCCTCGGACCTTCGCACGAGCTGCACTCACCTCTTCTGCAGTCTCATCCTCATCCTCATCATCAGGCTGGTATTCCTCATCAGATGAATCATCCTCCTCCAGGGGAATGTCCACAAACTGGGGTGGCTGCAGCACAAGAGAAGTGATTTCTTCACTTATGGGAGGCACAAAATCCCATCAGAAAGACTCCGTGTCCTGCCTTTGAACAGGGGAACCTGCACAAGCAGCCAGAGGCCGTGCAAAGTTCTCCAATTTGCTCAAATATTTTTATGGGAAAAGGTAGAAATCGGTACAAAAATAAAATAAAATTGAAGTAACAACCCTGGGGATGGGGAGGATTTGTCACATTTTGGGCAACAGGAATTTTTGCTGTCCCAGGGTGGGAAGCTTTTAACGAAGAGCTGCACGGTCAGAGCAAAGATTTCTGACTGAGGGAACAACCCAAAGCCCAGGGAGGAGCTGCTCCAGCCCTCCAGAAGATCCCACTCACCTTCACCTCGTTCGCCTTCTTAATGGGGGAAATGTTCCACGTTGGGATCACCTGGGGAGAGCAAAAACCCCAGAGCTGCTTCAGAGCTGTTCTCACAGCTCAAAGGGAGCTCTTAAACCAAAGGAACACCCCAGCCTGACCTGCACAGTGGCCAAGAAAGAACCAGAGCTCAACCCAAGGCTCCAAAACCCCTCCTGGGATCTCCAGGCTGCAGCCTCAGGACAAAGAGC